TCAAACAACAACTATTTATGCCCTTTATTTCAGAGGACATGAGTAATGGAAAGTTCTCAATTCTCGTCCATCATAAAAAGACTTCTGCCCTTGACTGAGATCAGTTGTGACACTTTACTTATTTCATTTACCTAATGAATTAAAAGTTTTTTAAACAATATCACTGAAATGTTGTTAGAAATAACTGCTGGAAGCACTACTTTATTGCATTAAGATAATTCCAAGACAGAAATGGGTTTCTCTTCATGCTTCTATGCTACAGCTACTTCTGTTTCTCATGCCGCTGCTTCTGTGCGTGTCTAAACAGTGCTTCTGTTTTCGAAAGGCTGATTCTCCCTCAAGCATGGCAGATCCAATGAGCAAATGTGCTCCTCCCCATGATACTTTGTGCCTTCTGCTGACTCACGAACACCAAGTTTTTAAAATACCTGGAGCCAACAGTCAAGCCCATAAAGTTAAGGAGTAAAGAAGAGACCTACAATAGAAGCATGAACTTCTCTCGTAAAATCTGTCTACATTCAGCTTTTAAATGTCTATGGGGACAAGAGTGATGCAAGAGGGCGATGGGCCATCCTCCACTTCACGGCATGTGACCATTAGGAAATGGATCATGTGCACCCAGGGCCCTCTCTTCACCCTTCCTCCTGTACTGTGTGTTCTCCAAAACAGAAACAAACCAAGAGTGATTTTGGTTGATGCACTGGGGCCAGAGTTTACTTCTATAATAAGTAGATTAAGGAAAAGAGAAGAATAACAACCATTTCCTTTTTCTATTACAATATAAAAACCGAGTATAAATAGAAATACTCTATCTTGGATCAGAACTAAATTTACCTCCCATTTTAGGTTCCTAAGACTGGTTCATCAGAGCTGAGAAATATTTTCATGAAAAAAAACAAAAACAAAAACAAAAACAAAACACTTTCCAATTTATTTGGAAAGTGCTCATAACTCCAATCATGAGTAGTATCTACTTGAAGAAAGATCAAAGGCATGATAAAGGATGAATTACCTCCTGGCAAAGGTATTCTAGACCCCTGCCTAATCCAAAAAGCTCACCCTGCATTTGATGCATCCTTCTTGATAAATCCAAATCTGATCATCAGCACCAACATCTTCCATGACCTGTATTCTAAGAAGCTTCAAATCCTCTAAGTTGCCATTGGTTGACATGAATAACCCTGTTGCTTTGTTTCGAAGTCTGAAACAAATTCGTTTCTAGAAGACAAAAACCCCAGCAATAGTCACATACAAACTGTGCTGTTAGAAGCACTGAATAAGCATTAATATTTGGAAGAAGCCAAAGTGAAGTATGGATAAGGGATAATTATTATACTTGAGAGCCTCAGAGGTTTCAAGATTTTCTCAATGATAAGAGTTGTCAAAGTGCCGAGGGCAGGGAGCCTGCCTATGGACACACCAGAGCTTGGAACGTACCATGTCTGATGTTGGTAGCATTTCTGAAGCAGCCACACCTCATGTTGCCCAAATACTGAGCCTAAATACTGAGGGGGTGGGGGAGGAGCCAATTTCAAACTTTAGAAACTCAAAGTTGACTTGTACTTTCAAAAAAGAAAAAAATTTCAGAGAAGATTCTACACAGCAGGAAAAAGAAAAACATACCTGAACAAAAGGTCGTAGAGAACCTATTTGGCGACAGCCACTGAATTCATACCAACTAGGTACTTCTGCTGGTGACAAGAGGAACTGTCGACCTCTGTAATTTCCATATTCATAAGTAATCCATCTGGGGGCGAGGGGAGAGGAAAGGAGATAACCATAGGAAATGGAAATTTTCTTTGACAATGGGCCCTAACAATTACATCTATTTTTAGAATGCTTTCTCAAATTCTGGACTGAACTTTATACTTTAAATATATATTAATAGGGGGATGAAACTATTTTCTAGAACACTTAAGTCAGCCTTTTTTTTTTTTTGACAAATAGCAGATTTGGTAATAGGTAATCTTTTTCCTCCAATAAAACAATGAAATAAAGATGATCTTTTAGTAGGACTCCACAGTCCTTCCTGAGAGTTGTTCTTAAAACATCCTCAGTTTATAGATCTTTATTTAAATAGTTAATATTTGCAAATTCTTAATATGAAACATTAGTTAGTGTTAAAGATTAAATAAAAAAATAAATTTTTGTTTAAAATGAGTAAAATCAATAAAAATGTTAAAAAGATACTCAGGTTTCTTCCCCCCAAATGCTGGAGCTGGCACACCAAAATGTTACTTTAGCCATCTTATCATAAAATATTTAATAGAACCTACTGAAAAAAAACACCCATAGTTCTGATTTTTAAAATAACTACAGTCCCCTCACCCCAACATTTGATGTATACAGGTAGACCATACCTGTTATTTTATAAATAAAAATGTACTACATTAATGATACTACTACTTTTTTTTTTCTGATACTAGGGATGGAACCCAGGGGTGCTTAACTACTGAGCCATATCACTAGCCCTTTTTATTTTTTTTATTTTGAAACAGGGTCTCACTGACTTGTTTAGGGCTTGCTAAGTTGCTAAGGCTGGCTTTGAACTCATGATTCTCCTACTTCAGCCTTCCAATTTGCTGAAATTATAGGTATGTGCAGCAGTGCCAGGCTACTTATTCATTTGTATGTCCTGCTCAATTTCAAAATCAAAGTTAGAAAAAAAAAATCTTCCCATCTGTTAGTCACTTCTAGTCAAAGAAAAAGCTTAACCTTTAGCTTCCAAATCAAAGGACTTGGTCTTTCAAAGGAATAAGAAAAATCAGCTTTTCTTCTTTGCTAAAAAAGGTGCCCCATAAATTTGCTGAGCACTGTATGCAAAGCATTCCCCTGGGGACTTCAAGAGGTGTTAGAGACAAAGTCCTTATCTGAAGCTAAAAATTCAAATAAGGAGACAAAGATGGTTTACATATGGCTTTTCCGACCAAGAAAGGAAAAGCTATATGTCCATTCATTTAAGTAAGGAAGGAAAGAGGGAAATCTGACCAAGCTTAATTTTTATAGGCAGGCACAGAGAAACAAATACCACATGATCTCACTTCTTTGTGAAATCTAACACAGTTGAACTCTTAGAAGTAGACAGCAGAAAGGTAGTTACCACAGGCAGTGGGTGGAAGGCCCCAGGGTGAGACATTGCTCAATGGATACAAAGTTACAGTTAGGAACAGACAGGAGGAGTAAGTGTTGTTCTGCATAACAAGGTAACTATAATGAAGAATAATGTATGTTTCAAAATAGCTAAAAAAGGATTTTAAATAGATTTTCTCAGCACAGAGAAATGATAAATATTTGAGGTGATAGATAAACTAATTAATATTATTTAGTCATCCCACAATGTATACATGTGTCAAAATACCACTTTGTACCCCATAAGTAATACAATTATCAGTCAATTCAAAATCTTTTAAAAACTTAATTTTAGGGTTGAGGTTGTGGCTCAGCAGTAGAGTGCTCGGTTAGCACATGTGAGGCCCTGGGTTCGATCCTCAGCACCACATAAAAGTGAATAAATAAGTAAAATAAAGGTATTGTGTCCATCTACAACTAATAAATAAATAAATATTTTTAAAACCCTAATTTTAAATATTATATTTTTTGCCTGGGGTGGTGGCACATGCCTGTAGTCCCAGCTACTCAGGATGTTGAGATGAGAGGATCACTTGAGCCCAGAAGTTCAGGACCGGCCTGGGCAACACAGTGAAACCATGTCTCTCTCTCTTTTTTAAAACTTTTTTTTTAAGTTGTAGATGGACACAATATCTTTGTTTTATTTATTTAGTTAGTTAGTCAGTTTTATGGTGTGCTGAGGATTGGACCAGTGCCTCATGCATGCGAGTCAAGGGCTCAACCACTGAACTACAACCCCAGCCCCAAGAGACCCTATCTCTTTAAGGGGGTAAAAAAATCTATTTTATTGGATTAACAAGTAGATAACTCACTTACATGCCACCAATAACCTGAACAGAGCGTATTTGTGTGTTAAATCCCAGGGATTGGAGATTAACTGTCTCTGCATTAAGTTCAATCTTTTTTCCTTTGAAGTTTTCTCTTTCATAAAGAATAATTGTTGGTTCAGAAAATTCCTGTTTGGAAACAAAAATAGTGTTCTGTTATTCATCTGTTAATAATTGGAAGCTTATGTGAAAATGATCTGAGTACAAGGACAAAGCACAAGACTGCCAGATGTGGCTGATTCATAAACTCCCTTTCCTGGGAAGCCTGGTGACTACATGCTACGAAGTGCAGGGAAAGGATAGAGGGGCTGCAAGTTTCCCCACTGCACATAAAGGCAGGTCCACGCCAATCATGTTAAGTAGCAGGGAAAAGATCCCAGCCAGAGAAATGGAGACATACGTGGAATATCAACACTTTTGACAGAATTTATTTTCACCCTAGCCTTTTTCAGTAGTATTCCTAGTTAAGGAGATGTCCCTTTGCAGCTATTTTCAAATGTTTTTGTTTCTCCTGTTAATAAGATTAGGATTCTATATACTCACGCTCCCAAATCTTCCTGTAGGATCATTGTCTGGAGGAAAGAAAACAGGATGGAAGCCCCAGTTTCAAACTGTTAATCATTTTAAAGAGAACAACAACACACAAGTTCACTGAATTTCAGAAAAATGAAACGTTGGAAGCTTATGTTTGTTTTCAAATTACAAACCCTTATGACCCTAGACTAAGCTCTAATGATAATACTCCTAAGATCATAAATGATACATCAAAAAAGTAGGTGGGGATTGCAATTATTTCCCCACCTGCTTAAAGTTCTGTGGCAAGGGTGCGGCACTTTACAGCTTCATTCATGTGGATATGTCCTGACATGTAGGAAAGATTTTGTCCACCCATCAACAGAGCAGATTAATACGTGGAGGTGGTTTGCATGTTCTAGGAATTAGGTTATATAAAACACACAAGGAGGAAACAAGACAAACATTGTAGTCATCTGACTACTTTGCATGTTTACTGCAATTTTCTCTAAAATGGCATGCCCAAAATGTTTCCAACACTCAATATTAATATCAAGAATCAATTAAACAATTCTGAAGTATTAAATTACAATTAAAAATATATAGGGCTGGGGATGCAGCTCAGTAGTAGAGTGTCTAGCCTGCAACAAGGCCCCAGGATTGATCCCAGCACCGCACATCCATAAAAATGTCTATTTTTACTAGGGGCAAAAATGTCTGTTCCCTCACAATCAAAATTTAAAAGGACATCACAGATGATATAGACACTTACAGGTAAGTGTCTGAGAGCTGTGAATATAAATGCCAAGCTCTGATTAAGGAATGGCATTTGAAAACCTCAAAATATATACTTGAAGATAGCCTTTAGAATTTTAGGCAAAAGTAACTATCAGAAAGTCTTATTCCATTACTTGTAAGCTAATGAATCTTACCTCATCATTCCATGTTTCACCAATACTATTTTCATGTCTCAATAGCATTTTGTTATTTAAACAGGCAGACATGGATAATAGAAAGCCGACTCACATGTTCTTCCTATCTTTAAAATCATCATGTACATATGTTTAAAGCTTTTTATGAGATCAGTTACCAAGAACTAAAAAAATTTTCCAGAACTGCAGACACACTTAGACTTAAATATCGGAAAATTATCTTACAGTTGTGTTGTTCTATTACTTGGACTATGTCAAAATGAAAAATTTCTGTCCAAAAGGGGGCACTATAACCTGGATTAACACTTACAAGTCATTTGAAAATTTCTCCTACAAGAGTCATAATAGTCTAAAAAACTACCAGGAATTTCTGCAAATCAGTAACAACTCTAAAAGATACAAAAAAATAAATAAGGAGGGGGACAAAGGCTATAAATTGGCAATTTACCAATCAGAATATGACAAATAAATTACATGAGCTACCAACCTAACAGTGATGTACAAATCAACCCAACAATGACACAATACTTCCTACCCATTCCATCAAACTGACATGAGAAAGAGAATACATAGTTGTGACAATGTGGGAAGCAGGAATCGGAGTGCCCCACCAGTGGGAAGAGGTGGATCTGGCAGCACCAAGTGAGACCCAGCACTTCCACTCCCTAATCATCCCCAAGAGACTCCCACATGTTCCAGCAGGATAAACATATGAGGATCCAATAAGTAACACAAGGTGTGGAATACATGTATAGTTAGCTAACAATCTACATGTACATATAGCAAAACGGATGGCTCTTGCAAATTTTAATGTTAAGTAGTTACATTTATAAGCACAAGAATTGTAGCATAAGGTTTATATAAATTGAAAGCCTAAATACAGACCTTTCAAAAACATACATTTTACAAGACTATCCAAGCTATATTCCAAAAACACATTAGAATGGGTGCCTGTGAAAGGGAGAAGGATAGAATTATGGTAGGAAGTAGGGAAAAACAACACAGGAGAGGGTCCTTAAATTATCCCGTAATGACAGTGGCCTGTGACTAACCTAACACCCTGCCCCAGAAGTCTGAGAAAACAGCAAACAATTTATACATTACAGACATATAAAGACATCAAAAGTGACAGGATGGAGAGCTCACTGCAACTGTTTTCTTGTCTCCAACGTTAATCCCTAAGTAAGTTCCAGATGCTGGTTTCCTGCTCTAATCATCAGCTATGTGGACCATACATTTCTGAAATCCTGTGTTCACACTGACATACTTACCACATCTATAAAACGAAGAGACTTGAAAGTTGCTCCAGGCAGGCATCCCATTGCAGAGAGACAAGGATAGTGGCCTTCTTCCAACACATACTGATTGCCGGAGAAGTTTTCTCCATCGTATGCAACCCAGCTACAGTAGGAAAACCACACACACAGGATGCAATTTGAGCATTTCTACTCAATAAGTCTGAATTTTAGAGGCAGACTGCCATACCATAAACATGAGGCTTATGGCTAACTTTTCTTTCTTCAAAAATATCTAAATATATTTACTTCATTTCATCTCATGACAAATTCATATTCATAAGTTATATAAATTATATAACTTATGAATATAATATATATATAATTCATATAAATTAACTTTGCATTTTGGAAACAAAACTTTCTTCTCTGTGCAATGACCTTTGGTTTTACTTCCCCACCTACCAGCCTTCCTTGCTTCTCTCATAGGGGACACCTATTCCCAGCTCATGCAGCTTCAGGCCTAGGAGTCCTCTGTTATAATTTTTCTTCAACCATCAAAGCTGTCAGTCACCAAGATATATTGATATCCTCCCAAAATTTCTCTTACACTTCCCTTTACTCTTTACCCTCATTTCTAATAGCTCTGGCCTGGGCCAGGACTCAAAAATATCATAGTGACTTAGATGAATCACTTGGCATCTCAAGGCCTCAAGATTATTGATAAAATGGTGATATATCAGGCTTCCCTAGAAGTTTCCTCCGCCCCCTTAAATTCTACAAATTGAGGAAAATTACATGTCAGGCATTTTCCTGATCTAGAGACACAGGAGAAAACAAAACAAGTCCCTACTCTCCTTAATTTATGCTTTACAAAGAGTAGAGACAGGCAACAAAAGCAGGTGTATGTCTGGCAGCACTACATGAAGAAAGTGGGGATAAGGAGGAGCCAGGTTGAGATGGAGCCATGTGCTAAGCAGCTCTGAAGCCTCACCATCAGTGTGTGTGTTTGAACATGAAGCCAGTGCTCTTTCACTGTGAGATGCTAAGTGATATGGTAGTGTGGCTTATAGGATCAAAGGAACCATTACTATTATCATTAGACTTAATTCCTCATCAATTCTTATGCAGACTGCTCCAACATTTTCCTGACCAAGTTTCCCAGATCTTAGACCCTCCCCTTTGGTAAAACCATTGTTTTTCAGCTTGGCTCCTTGAGCCCAAGGCCTTTCCCATCTTGGGTTTCCTGTGGCATTCAGAGAAACTCTTATTGCCTAGGGGGAGTCTTTGCAGTGTGAGCTCACCCTCCCAGTCCAAGCTGGCTTGCTTCTTTCCAACAAGAGGCTCCAGCTAAGAGGGATGGTGTGTTCCTGGATCAGCATGAACACCAACCCCACCCCAACCAGGTACTTTTCTTCATCTGCCCAGTGTACAGATTGTGCCTATTGTATTACTGTCTGCCTATAAAACAATCTACTTTGTGAGGTACCTTGGAGATTATCTAGGGTCCAGCTCTCCTTTTATAGATGAGGGAGCAGGTATTTGGAGTATGGAATTTGACATGAATTCCTCGCACACTGAGGTGACCTTCAACTTCTCTAACCCACACTGATGTCCACATCCTCTGGCATCTAGCACTCAGATGCTGCAGAGTATACTTCTGAACTAAGATGGTGGTTTCATAGAGTGCCAGGCACCTGATGACTATTGCAAAATTGATTTGTGAATTGTATTTTATCCCAGTGGTCCCACTCTGCAACTCCATTGTTTTGCTTACCTGCCTCCTAAAACTCGGCAGGACTTGGTAGAAAATGAATCATCAATGTGATCTGTTGTTTCTTCAAATCTTTGACTCTGACCTTGAAACTGTGGTTCTGAAAACAAGTGAATCTTTGCAAAAGTAAACAGAACACACAAAATTATTTCCCTAAAACATGTTAACACATTCAGCTTTTGAATTGATGACCCAAAACTGACCTGCTAACTTGTTACAGTAAACTGGTGTGAACTTTACAAATCCTTTAATTTTCTACTACTGTATTAATGATCAATTAGAAACACGTTGGCTATACCATTCATGACTATTTAATTCAGCGGCATCAAAGGACAATCCAACAACAGAGGCAACTTTCTATAGAACACCCTATTGTTAACAAGCTATGAGGCATTTTAAAGCTTTATTGTGGCCAAAAGTAATTATTCATCTGTTCTAACATTAACAATAAACTGCATTTTGGAAATATATAGTATAGTTTTCCTCCCTCTCAATGGAAGATACTTGCTGACTTATTGGAATCATTCATATGCCAATAAAGGAAACTACAGTGATGTTTGTACCTCTGTAATTATGGCTGTCTGAACATTTCCATTAAAAAGCTTAAATAACAAATGCAACACTACAGTTGATTTGGGAGTCTGCAATCATCAAAAGGCTTGAGTGAGACCATATAAAATGTCTGTCTAATGCAGACACAGCAAATATGAAAATTCATTCTACCATTTATCATGATAACTATATGCTATTGTTTGAAATATTTATCTTAGTGTGTTAATGTAAACTGATTCAATGTAATGATATACATTTCAGCTTTACGTGATAATTTACATGATAAGAATATAAGAAAAATTTAGACATGGGTCAGTGCTACCAATTAAGCATTAAAGTTAACATCTTATTTTTAAAATACAACTGATGAATTATTGTATAATGGTGTATTAAGAATTGTAATGCAAAATAAATAAATAAATAGTACAATTGATGAACATAAAGCCCTAGGTTTAATCCCTAGCCAAAAAAAGAAAAAGAAAAGGAGGAAAGGAGTAGAGAGACAAGGATGAAAAGAAAATAAAAAATACAATTAGGTTTTCCAGCATAAAAATGGGTGAAATTAACAAAATGTCCCACATATCTGACACTTAACACATAAGTCAGCTTTTCAGTGAAAGATCCCTTAATTATTAAAAAAAAAAAGAAAAGAAAGAAAACAAAACTGGAATATTTTTAAAAATTACCTGGTTTCGTCTCCTTGGGCCAGTGAAAGAATCCTAAAAATTTTAAAAAGGAAGAGAAAAGGAAATTAATAGAGCAGACATGTTGAAGAAATTTTCTCTTTCAGACCATTAGCAATTACTGTTAAAATAACCTCAGAATATTTCCTGTAGCAGTCAATAGTGAACCAGAAGATTACATTATGAAAATCCCAAATTGATACAAATATTTTTTAGTTCGTTGATAGATTTTTATTTTATTTATTTATATGTGGTGCTGAGAATCGAACCCAGTGCCTTACACATACCAGGCAAGTGCACTACTGGTGAGCCCCAGCCGCAGCCCCAGTTAAATATTCTTGTACAAACATATATAAGTCCTTACCAAACTTATGGGTTGGACAGAAGAGATCTTACAATTTTTGCCTCCCCAGTCCTCAAAACTGGTGTAAAAGCCTTTATCCAGAATATACTGTTCTCCAGTGAAGTCAGGATTTTCATAGGCTACCCATCTAAAGAAACAAAAACAGTGATCAGTTATCACTCCTATTTTACATATAAAACTGTCATATAAATATGGGTGAACAGGTATCATATGGAGACCTTCATTTGTTTTACCAATCAACAACCATAATATTTCTGAATCTCCATTAATCTTTAGGAATGGATTTGTCCACATGACAAATCAAAATGGTAGGCAAAATCTAAAAAGTCCTAGCTACTCAGGATGCTTAGGTGGGAGGATCACTTAAGCCCAGGAGTTCAAGACCAGCCTGGGCAAGACAGTGAGACTTCATGACCAAAAGACACACACAAAAAAAAGTATCTTTACATTAACTTTGTGATGTTCTTATTTATCAAATCCCTATTCCTTGAGGAAGCTCCAATAAGGGTATTTCTTTGGTATATATTGTATTTTCCTAATTCTCTTCTAAGGAAACAAACTGAACTTTCAAGAAGAACCTATTCCTTTTAATAAGCAAACAAAAATTCTTTTTGTTATCAACATTAAAATATTTCTGCAGAAAGATTTTAACAGGAAGTTATGTCCCTATTATACAATAAAACACATTAAAAAAGTTAAATGCTAAAAAAATGCAGCTAATTAAGATTTTGTTTCAAACATTATTTCCAGCATCATAGAATGGTATAATAAGCAAAACCAAACTCACAGAAATACTCCAATCTCTTGTGAATGTTTTCATTTGTTATCTTTTCAGTGATCTAAACTTGGAGAGAAAAATCAACAAAACTAACTATTCCTATGTTATTTCCTATCCAAAGATAAAGTCTTTGAAGGGAAAATGGTTTTTCAGTTCTGTTGTGTTCAAGAAAGATTTGGTGTCTACTCCTTAGTTAATTCATTGCTCTAATGAACATCCCATAATACAATATATTGTATTCAGAACTTTCCAAAGTGCTCTCACATCTAAGTTACACTTATCAAAGGAAGTACTGGTGTGCCCAATTTACAGATGGGAAAATCTAAAGACACAGAAAAGTTAATTCATTCATATACACTGAGTAAACCCAGACTGCCCTTTTGCCATGTGCCAGGAACTAGACTGGCACTAAGAATACAATGAAAAACACAAAATCCCTAAGTTCTTAGATGAGTAAGAAGCATGACAAGGAATTATTTGTTGCTGTTTGTTCTGAATGGAAAGTGACCTGTCCAAGCTGACACAACCAATTAGTGGCCAGAGCATGACCAAACCTACATCTCCTGAGGTTTACTGGGCTCTCTTTGCGTTGCCACCCACCTGTCATGTGTCTTGTGAAGTTTCCTTCCATTTACTATTCTATTAAAGCATTCCTAAAACAGTCTGTGTCGTTCATGCATAAATCAGATTCAGATTTTACCAAGGGCCAATTTAAACAAAAACATGAGCCCAGACATCGCCAGGAAATGAACAGCCACCAAGGAGAAAAAGAACGCTGCAGAAATCTCAACTGGTAGTTAAGTAGCTCCAACAGTTTACATTTGAACACTCACCTCTGGCCATCTGACGGGAACTGCTATAAACACCAATCCCAGTCTCTTTCAGAAAATATGGACACCCCATTTCTGAGCTTCCTTAGCAGTTTAAAAAACCTACTCTTTGTCATGATGAGTAACTAGAAGACCTTGTTCCAGCTGAGGTCAAGACATTAACTTTCAGGTGACTTTGAAGAGGCCCTTTAATCTTTGTGAAAGTTTGTGTTTTCCTTTATAGGTAAGGGAGTTGGCTGAGATCCCGGCACTGACCTGGTGAGGTCACAGGCACATGGGTACCTGTAGTACTGCCTCTGCACATGCAGCCTGTGGCTAACCACATGCTGAGCAGTGACAGTGACAGTAGCCCCTGCTACTGTATGGTGTGTGTGTTGAGGGAGGGGGATGTCTGCTTAGCAAGGAGATTAAAAAAAAAAAAAAATAGGACTTTTAAAAAGGAAAAATTAAGTTAAAAAGTCATATCTCAAAAAAGGTGTTCCCAGAAGGGCCTTGTAACAAGTTAAAGAACAAAGGGCTAAAGGGCTTTTTATCCCACTTCAATGTATATAGAGAGAAAAAGCCAGTAAAGAGCAAGAGATGAGAGATAATGCTCCCGAGGTGAGTGGACAGCCACTAAGTGAGTCTGGGAGAAGCATCTCAATCCTTCTTTTTAAAATTTTTTTCCCCTTTATTCTTGAACTAACAAATATGGGTACTCCAGTTCCCTATAAAACTAAAACAAACTACAGGCAAGTAAACACACAACACCCAGTTAAGCCCATCTCATTCACCAAAGTTGAGACAGGAAAACAACTTATGAAGATGCTACATGAATTCAGACTGCTGCTGTTCTCCAAGATGCAGCCCCAACTGGATTCCATGAATTGTGTGTTACAGAGGGGGTCCTGGAGGAGGGAGAAGAAACCCAAATACGCCATCTGAGGTGAGCATCTATTAATACTTGGGACTCAAGAAAACCCCATATTCAGGCTGGGGATGTGACTCAGTGGTAGAGGAATGTTTGCCTGCATGTATGAAGCCCTGGGTTCAATCCCCAGCACCACCAAAAAAAAAAAAAAAGATATGTAAGTATTATTATACTAATGAAACGAATGTTGCAGAGTTTCTGTTTTATTTTAGATTGTATGCCATAGTGGCCCAATTCAAACGTTTTCTGTACATGTGAATCAGGATGCTCTGTGTAAAGGCTGGCAAGGGCCGGGAGAGAGGCATGTACAAGTGCTAGCAGGTCCTGGCCTGGCAGTGTAATGGCTCAGAATTACCAAACCTGCCCTTCTGTGGTAGGCCAAAGGAAAAAGAATTTAAGATAATGGCCCAGTTATTTTTATCTATGCTCCAGAAAATTTCATTCTGCTCTTTATTTAAAAAAAAAAAATTAGCCCAGTTTCCATTATTTGAGGAAGAGTATAGCTCAGACCTAGAAATTGATAAGCAAGAGTTGTGTAAAGGAGTTTCTTCTGATTTTCCAATAAGAAATGGAATGTAGTTCCTCAAAACCTCAACTCTGGTCTCATAAGCATGCTTCCTGAAGGCTGTTTCAGGAAGTTTCATCACAAGTTTGCTCCCCAGGGAATTTATTACCTGTGAGTTTCCTGGGAGATACTTTCACAGAACAAGAATTTCAAAAAATTTTTATTTTTTTTCCTATAACTAATAGAAATAAAGAACAAACTAAAGAAATAAAGAATCAGCTAAAATGCTTATTAACCAATAAAAATAAAGCTATTAAAAGTAAAACCAATTTTCTTTGAAACTAGTAAGACTGAATAGTCTTCCTCATCTTGGTATACCTTACCCTTCCCACCCTGCAAGGCCTAACTCCAGTCCAAACTCCTCGGGACCAGAAATTAATCTCTCTCTGCTGTGGAAAACATTTAATCTCCATCTCTTTTGTAGCAATAATTATATTTTATATAAATGCTATAACATTTGTAAGGATATAATATAATACTTTTGCACACAGTAGACCTTAATAAATATTTTTCAAGTGACAAAGGTGCATGAAATAATGAGGAGGCAGCTGGTCCTGGTAAGTATAGAAGCCCTGCTTTATCCAAAGAATTAAAAGGAAGTGGTGTGTGCGTGTGTACCTCTCTTCAGCTTCCCCCACACCAAAACTCAACGGCTGCAATGAGAAAAAAAGCCCAAGCCAGGAAATACAACTAGAAATTACTAATAATAGAAACATATAAAAGCCGCATTTTATAAAGGAAACCAATTCAAGTAAACAGGGGCTGGGTAAAAAGGAAAGAAGAATGGCTCAGGGCATAATAATTCTACCTGTGTTAACAGCATAATCTACATAGATGCATAGTCTACATAAAAGGAAATGCTATCCAGCATTCTTTGACCTCCTTTGCTAGGTTGAATGACTGACTTATGACTAATCAACACGCCAGATGAGTATCAAAATACACAACTGTTTTGCCAGACTGAATTGGTCTCTCTGTTTCCCACCTGACTAGCTGTAAAGGCAATCTAAAATACCACAGAGTCACAGCACCAATTCAAAGGATTTCTGCTATACATTTCAGATGTCATCTTTCATAGATGGTCAACTGTGATTCTAAAATACAAGGGCTCCAGGATAGGACACAACAGGACACATTTTCTAAGACTGCTAAGATCCAGAAGCAGCTGATATTATTCTGCAAGGCTGGCAACACAAGCAGGAACCTACACAAGAATCTAGTGAGCATTTCTAATAGCAAAAAGTACTGTACATTAGGAACATCTCAAATATGCAGGGCTATTGTGGGAGGCCCCATGAAATACAACAGGTTTGAGGCTAGACTGATGCAAATAGGTTATGTCACTCATGACACCAAAAACTTAACATCAGCTGGGGTGCACTGGCACATGCCTGCAATCGCAACTGCTCCAGAGGCTGAGGTAAGAGGATAATAAGTTCAAGGCCAGCATGGACAACTGAACAAACCCTGGCCTTAAGTTTTAAAAATTTAAAAAGGGGCTGGCAATGCAGCTCAGTGGTAGAACATTTCCCTAGCATTTCCTGGCTCACAGTCACTGGCAGGAGTCCGACCATTAACAATCCTCAGTACCACGAAAATTAAAAAACAAAAACCCTAACGTCAAACACTTTCAATAACAATGGTGTTAAATTATTTCATATAACCATTTATAACAAATTAGAACAGACATCAGCCTGGATTACAGGAATAATTTCGGGGGGGGGCTAGGGCTATAGTTCAGTGGTAGAAAGCTTGTCTAACATGCTCAATGCCCTGGGTTTATCCCAAACACTGGAAAAAAAGAATTCTACAACTCCCTACAATCACACCCGCTGTTTCTGCACATCTGGTATCTATCCTCACTTCTTATGTTCCAATAATTTCCTAAGTGGCTCCTGCAGGATGGAGGAGCCACCTACATCTCAGCTCTAGGGATCTGCACATCACACAGGCATGGCCATTGTGTGCATGTGATCCATGTTTGGGAAATCAGAGACAAACCTGGAACTTGTGAGGGAAAGAGAAAACCTTTCCACTGTGATCAATGAGTTGGGAAAATAAAAGCCAGATGTGACCAAAGGATGCCAGGTGACATGGACTTGCCTAGAAACAGAGCCAGCATAGAAAAAAGTTTAGGCAAGAGACAGAGACCAAATTCTGATGACAGTGTTTGATCCCCTACATCCAGCCATGCCTGAAGCAAAATCTTCTCTAGGACTTTTCAGTTTGCTAAGCCACAGAGTTCTATTTTTATCACTTGAGCCAACTGAGTTTGGCCCACCGTCACTGGCCTCTTGACTGGTCATCATTCAATAAAAACTTGATTTACCATTAATAAAGCATTGAATTGCTAACTCCAGGTAGATTGAAACAATTATTTTTATGACCAAATAATAATGAAGAAACCTTTGGGAGCAGGTGTAGGAACATGGGAAAACATTCGACTTTTGTTCCACCCTTGGGTTTTCAATGTTAGATTACTAATTATTTGATTTTCATCTTAAGAAATTAATGATATTTCCATGAAGATACCCTGAAGCTTACTCCAACATTTTATTACATGTTATAACAAGTTTTTGTTGTTGTTGTTGTTTGTTTATTTTGCAGTACTGGGGACTGATCCCATAGATGCTCTACCACTGAAGTACATGCCCACCCCTTTTCATTCTGAGAGAGGGTCATGCTAAGCTGTCATGGCTGGTCCTTTGGGGGCAATTTGCAATCCTCCTGCCTTAGCCTTCCAAGTGCCTGGGGTTACAGGTGTGCACCATGATGCTTGGCTATTAGAAATATTTCAAATCAGTTATGAAAAGGCATGGCAGTAAATATTAAGTGCCTGAGTTAAGGGTGAGCTGTTGATATATTTACTGAGTAGCCTATTCTGTGTCACAGTCTTATTAGTTTAACACAAACCAAGGCAGAACCCATGTTTAAGATCCCAAATGGATTAATTCACTTACACTCCACTCAGTACATTAATAGACTGTGTCTTCACTCCATATCCAGTCTCCTTTAAATTAGCAACAATTCCTAATACATCAATACTGGAACCTTTGGATCCAAAGTTTTTGTCACTGTACATTATCATGTGAGCATTTGAAAAATCCTGTTGAAAAAAATATATTCAAAATTTAAAGAGTAGCCATTTATTATTTAAAAAAAAATAAAACTAAGAACAAGCCATTAGCTTTCCTTCAACTTACCCCTAATATAGGTCGTAAGGACTGAAGCTCTCCATTATAACCTCCCCAGTCTTTCCAATCCTTGTATTCTCCTTCTTCTAGCAAATACTGATGACCCACAAATCCAGGCTTCTCATAGGCAACCCAACTGCAATTGAAAGAACAGGCATCGAGCAGTGATTTTCAGACATTTAAAACTGTCCTTATGCACACATCAGTTTAACTAACAAATACCTATAGTTTTAAAGTTTTTACTTTACTAACGCTCTCACTACTGGAATTCTCTAAAATTTAGGAGACTATGTTGAAGAACACAACCTAAGACACAAGCTCCTCAGAGGACTAAAAGGGTGTGAGGGTATTTGAGATTATTTCAGCTGACTCAAACGAACCCCAGCAAATAAAACTGGATAGGCTTTCCTAAAGTAATAATTCAAATATTTTGAGTTTTTGGCTATTTTTAAGACTAGTTCCAGGGTATACATCTATAGTAAATGGGTAAGATCTAAAAATTACAAAAGATCACACAAATTAGAAAGCAAACTATAACAGTTCAGTATAATTTGGAGCATAATTCTAATAAACAAGTCTGCAGATTTAATTAGTCTGGATGGTCAATTCCAAGTGCGGGTCACAATGGGTGAGATACAGGCGTGGGTAAAGCCGTTGAAATTCATCATGCCACAGAATTGGAAATAACACCTTTGGCAGGGAGGAGGACACATTTACTGCTTGTTTAAAGGAAAAAGAAATCCTTCCAGTGATGCCTGTCTACTTACATGCCTCTTAGAACTTTCATGGACCCCACTGATGTAAGGGGCAAGTGATCATCTCCAGTCACTTCTGTCTCATCAGTGACAATGCTACACAGGTCTGTTTCTAGTTCCATACATCTTCCTTCAAAGAAAGGCTTTTCATAAATAATAACCTACAACAGAAATAAGATAGACCAGTGATAATATAGTTTTTTTTTAAAAAAAAAGCAGTAGGTCTCCCCACCTCTACCCACTGACCTGATGTGAAATAGCCCAGAACCAGAGCATAAAAGACAGTTTTTAAATCACTTGATTTTGTTCAATGTTGAGAACTGATATGTAGAACTTTGCTTAGGACAGACTGTTATAGTTTACTAATTTACTTAGGACAAACTTTGCTTGTTTGCTTAGAAATCAGAATTCTAAAGTTGCTTTGAATTTTTTTTTAAATCTATACCATCAAAGTATGTGGCATAGATGTGGGAAATAGGAATAACAGCATTTGGGAGTAGGGAGAACTTGTCTTGAAAAAGTTTCTTCTTGGCTAACTGGCAAGCAGCAACAGGCCCTGCAATTAGTAAATACAACCAAAAATTATACATTGAATGCAACCATCAACCTTTTGAACCAGGGCTCCACATACAGTTAATGATAATTGTGCCATTAGCAGTATTTTCCAGCCCGGAGGATGGCACGTGTAAGTTGGGACATCTTCCTTTGGGGGCAACTATGTGTGGCGAAGCTTTATAGGTGAAGTCACACAAGCATTATCTTCATGGAGGTGGAGTGGAATAACACACGCACACACGCTCATACACACTTACCTTCGGATCTGTTGGGAATTCAACTTTACGACCACCCTGAAAAGAAAAATAACAGAGAAAAAGGGTTTTTCATTGATTCCTTACCATTTTATATTACCCATAGAAAGTGAATCTCATCGTGTGATTACATTCCACTTTGTTTTAATGTATGTGAACTAGTGCTAAAATTACCAACAAAGCAATGAGGATACAGGAAGTCTACCTAGAACAGACTCACACAGTGGTCTGTATGTTCAAGGTGCACATAGAGTGTGTTTTTGTTTTTATTTAACTGACAAGATTTCTCATTAAGAAAAATCTGTATTTCTCATTTCTCTTGAAAAACAATCCTAAGATCTGTCATCTCGGGACCTAAACTCTCACAAGCATCAACCTTCACCTTCTGCACTCTTTGATCCTGCATGAAGTTCAGCCTTCTGCAGGATGCAGGCTGGGGTTTGCTGTCCCCACCACTCCCTGTGGTTGAACTCCCAGCCAGCCTCATTTTTATTTCTTGCCTGGCCATTGGAGGCATTTGATTTTGCAACCCACCACCTACAAAACTGTTAAAGTTATAAAATAAACTATTAGATTAAATATAAAAAATCCCAGCCAGGCATGGTGGCACACACTTATGTATAACCCCAACAACTTGGGAAGCAGAGACACGAGGTTCCCAAATTTGAGTCCCACCACAAGTGTTTAGTGAGCACCTACTACAACACGGCACACACCGTGTCCCATGAGGGGACAAGAGAGTCCCAGCCAAACCTATAGTCCCTCCCAAGCAGAAGAGACAAAGACCAATGCAAAATATAAGGATAAGGTAGAGGAAATACAAGGCTAAGGCAAATCTTTAGGAGGACATCCAGCCCCAGGCCCTCCCTGCCCAAGTGCCACCCAGCTGAGTCTCCTGTCATAACTGGCTTGTCCTGCCCTTTCAGAACTCTGCACCCTGGCGCACACAGTGCATTCTCTGGCACCTCTATCTACAATAATCCTGCTCATGGTTTAAGACTCAATCTGATCTATCATAAAGCTTCCCCAATCATCCCCCTCCTCTGTCACATCAGCCACAAGTTGGAATTTTATTTGTCATTCCTCCTATTTTTTTTTTATTGGTTGTTCACAACATTACAAAGCTCTTGACATATCATATTTCATACATTAGATTGAAGTGGGTTATGAGCTCCCAATTTTACCCCAAATGCAGATTGCAGAATCACGCCGGTTACACATCCACAATTTTACATAATGCCCTATTAGTAATTGTTATATTCTTCTACCTTTCCTATCCCCTACTATCCCCCCTCCCCTTCCCTCCCATCTTCTCTCTCTACCCCATCTACTGTAATTCATTTCTCTCCTTGTTTATTTTCCCATTCCCCTCACAACCTCTTATATGTAATTTTGTATAGCAATGAGGGTCTCCCTTCATTTCCATGCAATTTCCCTTTTCTCTCCCTTTCCCTCCCATCTCATGTCTCTGTTTAATGTTAATCTTTTCTTCCTGCTCTTCCTCCCTGCTCTGTTCATAGTTGCTCTCATTATATCAAAGAAGACATTTAGTATTTGTTTTTTAGGGATTGGCTAGCTTTCCTCCTATTTTTTCATGCATGTTTAATCCTTCACTTTCTACACTAGGCTGGTACTTTGAGCACACATCTGCAGCTCTGCAAGGCTGAGGCTGCCTTGAAGGCAAAAGACAGTCTTCTCGACTTTTTAACCTGTAGCACCTAGGACATTATCATTTCTATTATTTCTATCCAGCAATGGGCCTCGTGCAGATGAAGCACTGGGTTTGATGTTCAGCACCACATAAAAATAAATAAATAAAATTAAATTATTGTATCCATTTACAACTAAGTGTGTGTGTGTGTGTGTATGTGTGTGTGTGTGTTTATTTAACTGACAAAATTTCTCATTAAGAAAAATTTGTATTTCTCGGGACTCAACTCTCATATACATACATATTTTGTAAAGCCCATTTGTTGCTTCAACATCACATCCTGTGAATTATCAATGTCAAGCTGACAGAGTCACTGCCTTCAAGAACACCACATTTGATTTTTACCATTTTCAGAGGCCGCATGGATCCAATGTAGGCTTCCTCTGTATCCCAGAAGGATAAGTCAGGGTATTCGCCCGGTTCCAAGACGAAAGGGACACCTTGAAATCCAGGTTCTTCATAAATCAGCCAACTAAATAAACACCAGGGAAGGAAAGAAAGACAACTTGTCGTTTATTTCAGTGTTTCCTCTCTGATAAAAAAAGGGCTCCTGTGACAAGAGGGGAAAGGAACAGAGGATGTGGCCCCATATGACGACGGTTACACTTAGCTGCTAGAGTCAGGAGGAGCAAGCTGGGCTCCCCTTCCTCACCTCCTACATCTCTCCTTGGCTGGCTCTGCCTACTTATTTTTAATTCATATGATTAACTGCTTCTAACTGTAAACCTTTCTATTACTTCCAAGTAATAAAAGGAGTTCTCTTTTTGCACTGTATTTGGAGAGGCCCTCTTGGGAAATCTCAAGGCCTGTTTTAAAAGGAAACACCTCATTTGTAACCTAAGACTGAGGAGTGCCACCTAATCATTTTTCATGCTGTCAAAATTAATAATAGCTAACATCCTCTTCAAGCTCACAAGGAGTGCTGCCCAGAATTTCATCTAATCCTCACAAGAATGCTACCAGGGAGGAATATTTTTGTCCCCATTTTACAGATGAGATTAAGTAAATCACCCCAGGCCACACAGGGATGATCAAAGCTGACTCCAGAACCAGGCTCCCAATCATTTTTTTATGGTATTTTTTTTTTCTCATCGCAGAGAGTGCACCAAACATTCATTTACTCTTTTCATAGTTATTCAGGATCATCACCATGAGCATACTTAATGCATAGTGATGTCCCCGGAGGCTCTGAAGGTCTGCAGGGCTGCTTGTTCCCAGGCTGCAAAGCTTTTTGAGGTCTTGGTTCTGATTTTAATGACTGTGCAATACCACACCCTTCTACCAAGCTTGTCAGCTGTCACTTCTGCTTCAGTCAGGGAGCCAGCGGCCCCACCCTCCTCTCCTGTGCTAAAAGCAGGAAACCATAAAATCACGCCTGTTAGAACTGCCTCTAAAGACTTCAAGGTCTGGTAAATTTGCTCATTCCAGGCAAGGTTCCGGGAAGGTGAGGCTGCTGGAGAAGTGACTTTCAGATGGAAGGTGTTAAGGTACACCCCCTTCGTGAGCCAAGACTTCTTGGAGATCACATAAACTCTCCAATCTGTTAGTGTGGTTAAAATGTCTGGCTGTGGTCCTCCACCATGTTATACGCCTCCCCCCACCCCCACAAGACACCATCAAAGGCAGGATGATCCTAAATGAAACCTTCTACCAGCAAATTGGGACTCTTAGCTTTTTTCTTCTTTGCAGTTGGGCCTAAGGCATGATTTTTAGTAATGGTTTCTGTTAAAGATTCCCTTGGGTAAATCAGTAACTTCTTTTAGACTCACTAATTACACAGGGATTTACAACTAGAATCCGACCCAAGACCTGTCAACACACACCAAGGAATGTTGGGAGGCCAGGGGAGGGTTTACTAGTGGGGATCAAAGCTAATCTACAGTGTTAGAAGTCAGGAAAAGAGCAGATGTGGAGGTGAGCAGGGCTGGGAGGGGGCAAGAATGGGGGAGCTTCTGACATGCTAGAATGTTCTACTTCTTGATCTGGTGATAGTTATACTTATGTATTCACTTTCTGAAAATTCACTTAGCTTATTCACTTATGTGTATCTTTTTGTACAAATGTTACACTTGAGAATAAATTAACTGAAGGAAAAAAGAGGCCTGTCTTTTGAATACCACTGTAATGCCACGAAACCACATGCAAACAGAGGCTAAGAAGGGGATACTTTCAACTTCCTTATGTTTAAAGCATGACAGTTAAGGATGCATTAAGTATTTTTGGAGTTCAAAGCTACATGTGGATTCTGTACCTTAACTAATAGGAGTTGGGCAATAAATTCTGTTATTATGCTAATAAGACAAAGCCTTCAGAGTTCAACTCCTTCACAAGTGAATGGGCTTAACTCTTCATAAACAGGATATATGGCTCATGAACCATTCTGAAATTCTGAAATGATATTTACCCAAGCATCTTTTTTACTAGGTCTTTCCTTATAGTATTTTTAAGTTCTGAAGGAATTTATTCGTCTAAAACTAAAATTTCATCTTCCTGGAAGCATGTGGGTAAGTCATATAACATTTATAGAAGGAAGGCAATTTGGGGTAGAGGGGAAATTGCTAAAGAAAAAAACAAAGATACAAACTGTTATATTTGAAAAGGCCACATTCTAAGGGCACTTCTTTGGCAAGGGAGCCTGCTGGATAACTCAAACAGACGTTTACAACACAGTGTGACTCATTCTGTGCCAACATGATACAGTATTCATGAGGTTATCAGGAAAGGGGGAAATTATCTTCAGGCAATGTTATTGCAGTCTCTAAAGGTACTCTTTCTCTTTTCCTGTGCACTTAGGTAATGAGATTTTGCCAATATACAGAAAGAAATACCATATACAGAAAGAAATACCACTTTATAGTTGTGCTTAAACTGTGCAACTATAAAGCATGAGCTTCTTTTTTAACAAACATAAATGTATGCAAATATATTAATGACAATACATATGAATATTGATGAAGAAATAACAATAGTCATGCATATGCATATGAAAAATATCTATGGGATTACTTTTTTAGAAATACCCTTTGAGTCATCTAAGAAAAAATTCAGTCCTGTCTTATCCACTTGTTCTTAAACAAGTTAACTTGAAAATACCACCTAGCAGGCAAAGCTGAACTTACAGCATTTATAGCTGGATCCTTAAGACATGGTTGAACATAAGTGATGGCCATTTATAGAAACCAACTATATACTTGAAAGATTAAATATGAACGTGCCAAGCTTCAGATTATTCAAAAGAAGATGGGCTATGAATCTCAAAGGAAAAAATGCATGTTCTCTAATACAGCTAACCTAAGTTCTTTAAAAAGTCAGTAGCAAGGGAAATAGAGATTAAAAGAGACTTACAGAGACAGGACAGTCAAACATATTAATATGAACTTTGACAGAATCCTGATTTTTAAAAAAGAATTTAGCCCTTATTTTTTATTTACTTACTTTTATGGTGCTCAGGATCAAACATAGTGCCTCACCCATGCTAGGCAAGTGCTCTACCACTGAGCTACAACCCCAGGCATGAATCCTGACTTTACAAAAATAAAACAACTCCTAAAAGATATTCCTGAGGCAATTGGGAAAATGTGTTTATGGGCACAGACTACATATCACAGACATGGTGCTAATTTTCTTAAGTATGACACAGATAGCTAGGCAGGAGAATGTGATTACAAAGAGATTCAGGCTGAAGCCAATACAGTGTAGGGACATGATAGCTGCCACTTATTGTCAAGGGCTCAGAAAAAAGATAACATGAATATGGCAAAATAATGAGAAGAAGATTAACATTAAACAGGGAGGAGAGGTGGGAGGGAAAGGGAGAGAGAAGGGAAACTGCATGGAAATGGAAGGAGACCCTCATTGTTATACAAAATTACATATAAGAGGAAGTGAGGGGGAAGGGAAAAAAACAAGGGAGAGAAATGAATTACAGTAGATGGGGTAGAGAGAGAAGATGGGAGGGGAGGGGAGGGGGGATAATAGAGGATAGGAAAGGCAGCAGAATACAACAGTCACTAGTATGGCACTATGTAAAAACGTGGATGTGTAACCGATGGGATTCTGCAATCTGTATTTGGGGTAAAAATGGGAGTTCATAACTCACTTGAATCAAATGTATGAAATATGATATATCAAGAGCTATGTAATATTTTGAACAACTAATAATAATAATAAAAAAATATGGCAAAATATTACCCATCATTGAATCTAGGGGTGATATGTGGGTGTTTTTTGAACTGTTCTTTCTACTTTTATGTACGTTTGAAATCCTTTGTGAAAAAACAAAACAGCAACAACAAAAAAACCATTGGGCTCTGAGGGCTAGGGATGTAGCTTAGTGGTAAAGTACTTGCCACTAAGGCCTTGGGTTCCATCCTTAGTATTACCAAAACAGAAAAACTGAGCTTCAATATGGAATACTCCACAATGAATGATTACTGCACAGTAATGAAAAAGAACAAATTGACATACTCATCAACATAATCTTAGAAGAGTAAGGGTAATCTTAGGAGAGAGATTAGGTGCAAGAATCAGGGACTAGGACCAGGGTGGGTAACAATTTTCTGCCACAGTGCTGATAATGGTCTAAGTTATGAGCTGGCTGGTAGGCCCATTATTGGGCTCCATCACTTATACACACACACACACACACACACACACACACACACACACACACACACATATAAATGTTTTCTGTTTATATCAAGTATTTCATAGTAAAAATACTCAAAGACTACCCAGGGAAAAACGTCCCCTTCACTTCATAATATCTGTTTTCTAGAACATGTTCTGCTAACAACTAACCCTATCCTAGAGAAGGAGACCAAAGCCTATCTTCCTTGCTTAAATGATGGCATTAGACCAGATGCTATATACCCTATGAAGTTCTAAAGTTTTCTGTTTTTATTAGAAACATGCCAAAAATAAGTGTGTGGGGGATGCATGTGTATATGTCTACATGGTATGTGGCTGTGTGTATATGGTGTATAGTGCATGTGTGTGCGTGTGTGTATGCACACAGCAAATGCTGTCAGTTTTACCTTTAAAATGCACCAAAATCTGCCCATTTCCTGCAAATCACATTATCTAAGCCACCATCACCTCTTGTCTCTATGATTACAATTGCTTCTTTACGAGTTTCTTTCTACTCTGCCTTTACAGTCTATTTGTACTCAGCAATCAGAGTAATCATTCTAAAATACAAAGTCCATCAAAATTCTCCAAGCATCACTGGCGCCACTTTGAGTAAATGTCAATTCCTTCCTAAGGCCTAATGGCTTGCCAGGACAGGAGGCCTTTTTCCTCACTCTCCTCCTAGCTTAGCACCTAGGCCTCTTAGCTTGCCCTGAAGGGCTCCCCCCACAAAAAGACTGTGCTTTCTGCCTAGGGCATCCCCTGTCCCTTCTCCTTCAGCTGACCCCATGCAGACTTTCTCACTTCCTTCAAGTCCCTGCTTAAATGTCACCAGAAACCTTTCTTCACTACCTTATCTAAAATGGCATTGCACCTGCCCTTCTCTGTAACATTTCCTGTAGCCCTCACCATCTGACACATTACACACTTATTTGTGTTTGTCTGGTCCTATTGAATGGATAGCTCCATGACAGAAGGGACATCCAATTGGAAGTCATACTCCCTATTAAGTTACCTAGAAGTTTTTTAGTTTCTAATTTCTGAGAAACAAAATTCAGACTCTATAATCTCTAATTTACCCAGTTTGTACTTTCTGCAAAATCAAATCATTATTCCAAGATAGGAACAAGAGTAAAAGAAGACTTTTAGTACTCAACAAGATGCAAACACCATGATGAAGGACTGCCTTACCATTCACTGAACAGATATTCTACATCACTTTACAGGAGAGACTACATATCCTACTAATAAAAACTTATGCATATTTGCTGAATATGTAAATATTTCTAAATAATATGCATTAACACTGAAATAATATATTATGCACATTAGAATACATAAACAAAAATAAAATCCTTTTTTTTCTTTCTCCACATTTTTTATTGGTGTATTATAGTTGTAAATAATGGTGGGATCTTTTGTTACATATTAGTACATACATACAACAAAAATAAAATGTTAAAAGTTTTGGTGGCTTTTTCTCCCTACATTCAGTGGCTGCCTTTCACATGCCTTGGGCTCTGCACTCCCCTTTATGTGAATTCTTTAGCTCATTTTTGTGGTATTTTAGGGATTGAACCTAGAGCCTCATGCATGCTCTGCTGCCTGAGCTACACCCCCAGCCCTATGTTCTCCACTTGAATTTTTTTCTCTTTTTTAAAAAATTTGTTCTTTTTAGATATACATGACAGTAGAGTAAATTTTGGCATATTATCCATACATGCAGTATATCTTATTCTAGTTAGGATCCCATTCTTGTGGTTGTACATGATGTGGAGATTCACTGGTTCATATGTGAATATAGGACAGTTATTTCCAATTCATTTCACTGTCTTTCCTATTCTCATCCCTTCTCCCTTCCCTTCATTTCCCCTTTGTCTAATCTACTGAACTTCTTTCTATTCTCCCTTCCCACTATCCTCTACTTTAGAGACCACATTCTTTACTGCTGCAGTCTGCACTTTTTATCCTAATTTCTCCCCTATCTGAGATAGTCCCATTTCCTTCAAAATATTCTTGCAGTTTCCTGTGATTTGTGACAACATCCTAGAGGCTTCTGACAGAATTGTGTGAAAATATGAAAGGAAGCGCCCCACATTTTGGCTTCCATCCCGCCTGAACTATTGGGGGTACATGCTTCAGATCACCACCTTTGAATTACCACGAAGGTATATCTGCTACTCAGCTTTGAATGCATCAGATTCCTCTGACATGAAGGAAAAAGGCCTATGTTAAAAATCCATTTTCCTTCACACTTCCTCTAATAAATTGTTATTGTTTATAAGAGAGGTGAATCATAGTAACACAGGTGCAAAACAATCAGGACTTCATGTATTGTATTAAAAATACCATTCAGTCAATAATTACTTAGCAAGAAAACAAATCAGAAACCAAATATTGCTAGTATTATCTCTGATAATACAGGCATAAAAAAGATTCATTAAAACTATATTTGAAATATAACACTTACGTGCCCCAATGCACTTTAATGGAACATGTCTTCTGCATGACACCAAATCCCTGCATTTCTTCCGTGTCATCAAAGTAGGAATTCTGGAGTCCTAACCCCTCTGGTTCAGTAAATAAGTCAATTTGACTAATTCTGTAATCCTGAAAAAATATATATACACACATATATGATATAGATACAACAATTACACCATGTATTTAACTCTACAGTACGCTTGTTATTCTCTCTCTCTCTCTTTCACTCTCTCTTTTATTTTTTGCAACCAATTAAAATAAGTTTAAATGTACACTTACATTTCATAGGGTGCCTGCCATTTTATCCCTATCCTATTTGTACCCACGACTTCATAATATGCCTCTTTCAGGGTAGACACGCTACTTTTAATCATATATCTTAACATTACATTAAAAAATTCAGAAATGCATTTTTTTAGCATTCTGGAACATCATTCTCACATCCTCTCTTGCTTTCCTTGGTAACAGGAGTTCTGGCTACTTTGCTTAAGAGGCAACTCTCCAAGTCCAGAGATCTTGGTCTATAGAATGGTTGCCCTTCTCTTCCTCAACTATTGTTTTGTGACCACAAAACCACTGGGGTAACTCTCCATGACTGTGACTAGACCGCTATATGTTGGTTTGGTCCAAAATGTAAAGCCAAAACCCACATTCATGGTGACTTATGAATCTCCACACTTAGGTTATTGTTCCATGCCCTGCATAGCCAGAGTCCATCAGATACTCTTCAAAGGGCCTCTCCTGGCAGAGTGTGCTAATCAAATATTTATCAAATCTCTTCTATGCTGCTGAGCTGTGTGAACTATAATACAGAAGAAAGAAAGCTCATGCATGCTTTGCTGCCTGAGCTACATCCCAGCCCTATGTTCTCCACTTTAATTTTTAGGGGGTCAGTTCAGGTGAGGCTCTTTTAAACATTACCAAAATGAGGAATTAATGAACTAAAATGGTAACTCTCTTGAATATATGATGTGTTTCATGTTTCAAGAAACCATGCACACAATCTCTTTAAAAAAAAAAATGAATTCCTGCCTTCCAACATGGTATAATTCAGAATGATTTAACCCAAGGGACTAAATCAGAAAATTAGAAACTGTTAAACAAAAAAGGTTCACACATCATTATTTAAAGTAGTAAAAAAGAAAACCCAGAAACAACTTTAAGATCCACTGAAAGAGGAAATAATAAATGATGACATCCAATTTATGTAGTAAATGATAAATAATATCATTTCAATGAGATACAACACAATATAAGCTAAACCTCAAATCACATAGCAACATGAAAAGCTTTCCTCTGCCAAAAATTGTTGATTGTTCTAATTTTGAAGCCTTTTATTGCACTTCATGACACCCATATCTATCATGCAAACTTGGAATTTTAATTTTCTTCTTGGAAGACCCAGGAATCATGTTTTTAAAAATTCCATGAGCCAAAAAGAATGATGTTGATTATACCTTGCTCAACAAATAAGAAATCAGAAATATTATGCAATCCATAAAGTGACTTCAAATATCTCAAATGACAGTTTTTAAATCCACATAAAACTCCAGAGTTGAACTATCAACTGAATTATTTTTAGATTACGTTTCCAAAATACAGTATCTGTAAACTACTCAAGGTAATCAGAAATCATGCAGTGGCCAAAAAGACTAAGTAAAGGGAAAAAAAATCTGTTCACATAGAACTTATTACAACCAGGTTACTACAAAAAGTCCATTTGAGAGATTGGAACTGGGGTTCAGGGGTGGAAGATTAGTCTTAAGACAAATTTGTCTTTGTTTATTGTGAAAAAAAATCTAACCAACTGAAAAGTCTTTCTAACTCATTTGAAATGTACAATACATTTATAGAACATTTATAAAGTACCAAATTTTCCCCAATCACTTATTTAATAAAATGAATACTTCCTCAAAGTAAGAATCAATAAACATTTATTCAATAAATGTTTGCTGAATGAATGACATTCAGATTTACCATAACCTACCTGGACCACATGTCGGATTGAACCAATCACTACAGGTTTATCAGATTCTGCCTCCTCATTTCTTTCCAAAATATCTTCTATACCCCAGAGACCAGAAAGTTCCAGTTCACCTTCTTCTAAGGGGATGGAATGTCCTTCAAAATTTGGTTTCTCATACAAAATCCAACTAAGAATAAAACACAGCAAAACCATTAGCTAGTTTTGGTGAGAGAGGTTTTAATTCTAAACTATTCTGGTGTGTGTGTGTGTGTGTGTGTGTGTGTGTGTGTGTGTGTGTGTGTAAAACTATTTATTATTATTACCATTATTATTATTATTATAATAATAATTATTATATCAGTGACCAATTCTCTAGCAACGAAAATGGCACATACTTTCCCTAAAACAAACTTTACTAGGTATAATGAAACCTTTGATGATTCAAGAACAGTATCAGGATCTTAGAGAAATTGTGGGTTATCACGATAAAATTACAGAGCTATCAATATTCTATGGAATCACTAGTTAGTGGAAATTTGCAAATGATATGTCAGATAAGTGGATGTTAACTGTGCTGGGTTTTTTTTTCCTTAGATGTGTAAAAATCATGTCTCTTAAAGAAATTTTAACATATATTGGGGTCAAATCAATGAATATTACTACAAAGGACCACATGCATACTAATGGGAAAAGCATCTTATAACTATTCTTCCCAATAACAGTCAAATGCTTCAAAAAACTACATGTGGATATATGACACTGCTGTTCTTAAGTGTTTATACTTTCAAGAAAAGAAATAAGCCAGCAAGCTGGGCACAGCGGCACACACCTATAATCCCAAGCAGTTTGGAAGGCTAAGGCAGGAGGATCAGGAGTTCAAAGCCAGCCTCAGCAAAAGCAAGGCACTAAGCAACTCAGTGAGACCCTGTCTCTAAATAAAACATAAAATAGGGCTGGGGATGTGGCTCAGTGGTTGAGTGTCTCTGTAACCCCCACACCCCCCCAAAAAAGAAAGAAGCCAACAAAATCTGCAAAAGAAAGAAAAAAAGCACTGTTTGATTAAAAACAAAACTTATGCAAAATTTGTTTTACTATAATTTTCAGTCTTCAAATTTAAGAATGAAAGAAAATTTATTTTTCTAATGTATTCATTCTAATGTATTTGTTGAATACATAGAGAAATATGTTAAAGTGTCTAAAATCCTAACAGGAAAGCTGTTATACGTTTAATCAAACAGAGGCCAAAAGAAAAGCTTACTAATTTTTAAACCATAGACTAGAGCTCTACCCTCTTTATTTCAAACAAGTTTATAAATAGGTACCAGAGATAAGTATGCCAGATCAGTGATTTTTTTTCAGTTGCTTTCTATTCAACTTCCTGTGCATTTGCAAAAGGCAATTAAAATGGTAAAACAATTTTAGAAACTGTCAAAATGTTTATATTCTCACCAGTCTCTTTATTTAATCAAAAATTATTTTTGTCAAAATTATAAATTAAACTTTAGTTAAATTACTGAACTGTCATGTATTTCTTAAAAGTCACATGTGGCCCAACAATATGACTAGTGTGTACATTTTGGGTTGGAGGGAGGGTCTGGAGATTGAATTCAGGGACACTCTGCCACTGAGCCATGCTCCCAGACCTTTTTATTTGATTTTGAGATAGGGTTTGGATAAGTTGCCCAGACTGGTCTCAAACTTGTGAACCTCTTGTCTCAGCCTCCAAGTTTCCTGAGATTATAGATGTGCACCACCACAGCCGACTGATCTTGCAATTCTTCACAACTTCATTTAAAACTCATCAGCTAAAAGTATATTATGGGCTCTGATGTACAATTAACCCAAAGCAATGTTGTGTGGGATTTGTGTTCTACTGCATGTTTTCTAAATTTTCTATAATAAACATGAATCACTCTTATAATCAGAAACATGTTTAACCATATTTCTTGAATACAAATTCTTTATCTTACTATACATACTATTTTCTGCATTGTACGTTGATAAAGACATAATAATAAATAACTACTGAGAACCAAAAAGATGCTTAAGAAGGTAAAACACAAGCTATACATCAGGAAGCCCAAGGGCCACTCTTACCATCCTCTAACGACTTTCACGAGTACTACTGGAGAGAGGCTCCAAGAACTGCAATCCTGAATATCCCTGAAAACTTCAATGCACTTCTCCGAGACATAGGGCTCACTGAATATCACCACCTACAAGAAAGTGGAAGTGGTAGCACTTTGCCTATCAGATCAAGATAAAAAATCTAGACTAGAAATAGAAAATAATCTTACCTTTCCAGGTCGGGGATTGAGTTTATTTTGACTACTTCCTCTCAGTGTCTGTAATGACATGAATAAAAACACAACAAATAATTACAACTTTACATAGCAGTCCTCTTTTTCCCACCTATAATTCTTTAAGTACGATCAAATTTACCTCATGGTTTAACAGTTTTGAAACATGTCCATCTTTATGCCAAACTTGTATTAAAACTCTTTTGAGTTTATATTATTAAGAGCTTCCCCTAGCCAGTTTGGTGGCACATGCCTGTAATTCCAGCAACTGAGGAGCTGAGGCAGAAGAATCACAAGTTCAAAACCAGCCTCAGCAACTGAGTGAGGTCCTAAGCAACACAGTGAGACCCTGTCTCTAAATGAAACATAAAATAGGGTTGGGGATGTGGCTCAGTGGTTAAACGCCTCTGGATTCAATCACTAATAACCACCCCCCCCAAAAAAAAGAGCTTTCCCCAGCCCCAACTGTTTTTGCCATTTCAGGTTTTCTTCAATTAAATTTCTAGAATATTTCTACCAATGCTAGAAACTTAGGGCCCAAAAGTCACACCTATGTTTTATGTCAATTCACAGAATAAGAATCAACTGAGATTCAGATCATCTCCGTGTAATCCCAGATACATAAAAAGAGATTGGAATGTACTAATCACTTATCTAGAAAGAGTTGAGTCAGTTTATGTGTTCAGACACTTTCTACCAGAATCTGTAAATATTGTGTTTTCATAGTAACATCTACTAGTTTAAATAAAAATGAGTATAGTGTATTTCATAGCGTACATTGCACATGGTATATTTAATACCCCCTTTCTGATGAACAGAATACCTTTTATATGACTTTGAAACTAATTATTTTCAAGACTATCTGACAAGACAAGTAAAACCAGAAACACAAAAGATAATAAAAATAGTAATTATACATGTAAAAATATTACAAAACATGAACTACTTTCAATGCTGACCAGAATGCCTCTTCTAGACTAGCCTTTGATCTGACTGCTCTTACATCATACCAAAGTGGGATCTGTCCACAAGATCACAAGAAACCCCACTGGAGCATTATTACAAATCAAAATAGCATATACTTATGTTTTTACATGCATACATTAGAAGTGGACAAAGGAAATACCTACAATTTAAAGCAAAATAATTCTATAGTCAACAAAGGACAGGACCTACAAAAAAACTTTTTTTTTTTACAAAAATTATAAAAAGTCCTATGAAAAAACCCCAAAGCATTTGGTTTTTCCTTTTTACTCCATCTGATTAGATTTTCATAAGGAAATTTTATATATGGTGTTGTCAGACATGTCAGATTGTCAAACAACAGAAGTGATCTAAGAATAATTGTAAAAGAACAAAGTTACAATGAATGGGAAGTAGACTAGCAGAAATTTTGTTCTTGAGAGAAAGAGTTAAGAATCTTATGATTTCTCCAGTTTTTTTTTTTTTTTTTTTTTTTTTTTGTACCAGGTATTGAACTCGGGGGAACTTGGCCACTGAGTCACATCCCCAGCCTTATTTATTTTATTTTATTTTATTTTATTTAGAGACAGGAATGCGCTACCATGCCTGGCTAGGAATCTTATGATTTCTGACTGCTATAGGCAAATTCAGTTTTCAAAGTATGATCCAGATGTCCCTAGTAGGTTCCCAAGATCCTCTCAGGCTTTCCATGAAGTCAAAGCTATTTTCAAAATAACATGAGGCAATTACCCGTTTCGATCTCTCTTTTCTCAGAAGTGTGCAGAAGAGTACAAGGCTCTGTGACATGTGACAATAGATTGCTTTGAAGGTTAAGGGAATGTGCATTTGTGTTTTCTGGTGTTTCAATTTTTCTCTCAATGTTAATTTCTAATATACTAAATTCTGATAGGCAGAAACCATATTTTATATAACTTTAAAATGTAAATGCATCCTAAGACCAAAAAGTCTGAAACCCACGGATTTACAAAATCACATGAAAGAAGGGATCTGTACCACTGTGGAAACCCATCTCTACATTTCACAAGAGCTTCCAAATCACAATCTCTGATGGGATTGTTGCAAAAGCCAACACAACACACTGAATCATCTTGCAGTGCCTTGGCCAGATGAGGAGAGAGCGAGGTGTCTTCTGCCTGGGCAGTCTGTGGTGGATCATGGTCCACGCTTGCCAGGTAGCTGGCTCACAGGTGGACCACAGAGATTCAGTTCCATTCTTGTTTATTCAGTTCCACTCTGGTTTCTAGGTGAAGAAAGCTGAGCTCTAAACCTGATATTCTGCCTTCCTCTTTCATTGTCCTCCCTCAACTTGAGTATCAAGCTTGGTGGCAAAACGGCACAAATTCACCTGAAAAAACTGAGGAAAGAAAACAACCTCTGGGGACGGGGCTAGGGCTCAGCAGTAGCGCTCTTGCCTGGCATGTGTGAGGCACTGGGTTCGATTCTCAGCACCACATATAAATAAATGAAATAAACATCTATCAACAACTAAAAATTAAATAAAAAAATAAAATAACTTCTGGCTGGGATATTGCTCAGAATATATGTTTAGCATGCACAGGTTCTGGGTTTAATCGCATGCACACACACACACAGGCAAAAGGGGAAAAAAGAACTTCATACAGTCAGGTGAAGAAGATGGAGAAATCATAATTGTCCCTCAAAATCATATGTTGCTGTCCTCTCTATAATATTTAAGGAAAGATCTAACGTAAACCAAAAATTTTCTGCCCTAAAACTCTGCAGGAAAACATTTTTTTTCCTTGATGAAAACTTATTCCTAGTAAACAGAAAATGCTTTCTCAGCTATAGGGGATAAATATATTACTACTTATAGGAAGAATAAAAGTAAAATTTCACAATGTAAAAGAAGGAAGAAAGAAAGGCTTTTGTTGGCTGGGTAGGGCTTTCCCAATAGAGGAAGCTGCTTCACAAATCTTCAGAATTCTAAGAATAGTATGGAGCGTTTTTACACCGAAGAGGTAAGAAAAAAATGTCTTATCTGCCTCTGAATTTTCAAAGCTTTTTTTCTATACTTGTCATATTACAAGTTGCAAATTCATACGTGCCATAAAATATGTAGTTCACTTGCCCTCCTAGATCACGCAATGTCTTGAGAAAAGAGTCTTGGTACCTTTTTTTCTTGGGCCCTGACAATTCCTTCTACATAGAAGGGTTTCCAACAAAGGAATCAAAACACAGAATCAAAACTTCTGTGTCCGAGCATGACCATTTCTAAAGAACAACATGAACTGCTCATCATCCCTCTCTCCTCTAGCTTTATCAATACTCCAAATAAATGACACCATGTTGGTACTTACCGTGGCATCTGACAATGGCATTCCAGAAAAAGAAATGCCTGGGTCGTACAGGCTTGATTTGAAAAGACCCATGAAGTCGGTATCACTGTTTCCATGGTTTGGCAAGTTGGATTTAAGAACACTTTCAGTATGATTAGCCTTTTCCATACCATCATTGTTTTTCAGTTTGGAAAATTCTGAAAATTTCGATTCTGGCAAGTGTAGATTGCTTCGTGAATTCAGGTCTTCTTTGTTTTCCTCTTTTGGCAGGTGTTTTTCCATGTGGCTTGGACTCTTCAGATCTGAATGAGATGCATTTGCCGAGTTGAAATTGAAGACCTTTAAGGAGTGGTGAGGTGGAAGACTTGGCTGCTCTTTGTCTAAGCCACAGGGCGGGGCACCTTCCTTCAGGGGCTGTACCACTGAAGACCGAGACAGAGAACTGTTCTGAGAAGTGCTGAAAGAAGTGGTCATACTGTTGACTGATGTCACAGAGGGAGAGAAGACTTTGTCTTGTGGCAAAGAAGATAACATGCTTGAGAAAAGCGCACTCTTTTCTAACCTTGATCTCTTAACTCCACCATTGGTAATGTCCCTGTTCTCTTTGTCATTTTTTTCTAAAGTGGGCTGAAGTTCACTTTTTCCATTAGTAGTGTTAGTGTGCAAAGACTTGAAGAGGACACTCTGCTCGGTGGATGCACGTTTGGGTCTCAGTTTGGATTTGGGGTCGAGGTTCTGCATCAAATGTAAAGCAGGTGACATTTCTGTCTGGCTTTCCTTCTTCTTCCCCAAACCGAAGGTGAACACGTTAGGGTCAAACACCTTTTCTAAATTGTCCTCATGAATAGGAGGCATAGCGAAGTGAGGGGCAGGGGAGTTTGGCATCCTGGTCTTCTTTTTCTTCTGAGGCACACAAATTGTGCTGTCCATATTTTTTATAATTTCCGTGAATTTTTCCATATCAGAGGAAGAATCGAATACGCTATCATCACTACCAGCAGAAACATTCAAAAGACTGGTAGGGGTGTCCTTGCCATTCACCATGTTTTGATCTGGCCTCGGAGGAGTTTCTGAATGATTCCTGCTGGTGGGAGAGTTGACGGGGCTACACTCAGCCACTGGGTGTTTTTGGCTGCCCTGACTTTCAGCCTGGACAGGCAGAGCTTTCTCGCACTCTGGTGGTGTGATGTGTGGGACAGATTTTGCCACATGTTCCTCTTTGCCATGAGTGCGTTTGGGTGATGTGCCCAGGACTTCCTCTTGCTGGGGAGCACAACTTGCAACGGAAACCACTTCAAGTTCATTATTGTGACAACTTGGCAACTGCACTTCTTTAACTTCAGAGTTTTCTGAAATGATCTGGGAGCTCACATCCTGAGGGCTCTCCACAGGAAGAACGAAGGATCTGACCTGGACAAGGACCTTGGATGGACATTCATTTACCACAGCTTCTGGGCTGGGCTTTGGGGAAGAAGGAGGGTTTCCTTCTCCTCCTCCAAGTTTGGACAGGGGAATTTTCTCACTGTGATGAGACAGGGGCAAAATACACCCATTATGGTTTTCTGATGCTTTTAGATCAGTGCAGGCAAAATTGCTCATGGGAGCTTGAGCACATTCGTCTTTGGGAACATCCACAGGCAGAGGAAGAGAAGGCTTCTTGAATGACTCATCCTGGGGCTGTGAGTCAGGCAATGTACCCTGGGGCTTTGGAAGTGAATCTTTGGCATCAAGAACGGTGGGGGTGTCTTGTGCTGTATCAATCATATTTTCAAGTCCAGGTCTTTTGCTTTCAGCAGCCTCAGAGTTGTCCTCTCCTAAGAGCTTAGGGTCCTTGACAGGAGTCACAGCAGCAACCACTGGTTCTGAAGAACAGCCAGCATCTGTTTGCACATCTGCTTTGTCATCTTGGTTAGACTGGGGACCAAGAGCTTGACCTTCGGTGGGCTCCCCTCCCATTTCTCTGGCTGCTGAGAGAATCCCTTCTTTAAGGAGAGTGACTTTGGTTTCTACAGAGGGTTCCTTCACCACCACACCATTATGGTGACTATTTGGCATTATTCTCTTTTCTGGTTGCTCCATTTCCTTGGCTTTTTTGGCTAAATTCAGCTTTGCTCTCCCAACAAATGTCTTATTAGAGGGAATGTTCCGTGTGCCTCGAATGTCAGTGTGTCTTGGACTACTGTTCACCCGTTTGTTTTCAAATAAGGAGATTTTGGTAGCAGTGTTTCCCTTATGAACTGGCTGGCTAAATGAGTTATGTTCATTTGCTAAACTGTCAGGATTCTTCGGGGTTTTCAGGTTTAGTTCCACGTGTTTGGGTTTGGCAGGGCTGTGAGAAAAAAGAAGTAGGGTAGTTACTGGCTCAGTTTTAAAAAGCAAACACACAAGCCATTTTATTAGAAAAGTATGAAAAGCCAATATCTTTCTGATAACATTTTTAATGAAAATTTTTAAGCAATGCTAAATATGCCATCATTTATTTTTAATGGATGTTTTGCTTGCATATTAAGAATGAAAAGATTACACAGTTAAGAAATCCTAAGGGTGAGGGGCTAACAAGTTTAATAAATGCCCATATATTAATGCTTGGCACTAGAGTCAGAAGATATTACAGGATCTGAAGAATAGTAGAACAAATTCAAGTGCTTAATGCATTCCTGTACCTAAAATACATAAATTATTTCCCCAAACATCAATGGCTTTTATCTTAATTCTCAAAAAAAACTCAAAAGATTAGATTATGAAAAAGTTCATCTATTATTGAAGTTTGTTCAATAGTATTTTGTTCCCATCCTTCTTTAATAAAAATTTTTATTACATTGTGTTCACTATAGGAAATTTGAAAAAGACTTTTATAATCATTCATAATCTTACCACTCAGAAGATACCCCTGTTAATATTTTAGTTCATTTCCCATCTTTTTATATACATAGTTAAGTATTTTTTAATAGAGCTGAAGTAATTCTGTTCATAGAGTTTGCTATCTTGTCTTTTTTTTTAAAAAAAAAGAAAGGAAGCTTCACCTTTCTGCATTAAAGTCCATTATACATTAACCATAATTTAGTTGTTATTTATTCAATTGTTGGTTTTGTTATCACTTACCAGGCAAAAGGGCTCCCTCTCTGTCACATTTCTTGGATATGACTACTCCCTAATGGAAATAATGGCTTTGGATGTACACAGTGCCTTCTTTCATAAAAACAAAATGTGCTCTGTTGGGCATGTGCTGGCTCTAGTTCTGGCTCTCACACTAATTATCTGTATGAACTTGGTCAAGTTACTTTACCTCTCTGGACTCTACCTTCTCTATCTTTAAAGAAAAAAATAATAACACCTAGATGGTTTAAACAGACTTGTTTTTATTTTCCCCTTGCATACAGTTGAAAGAATTCTTAAAGTCCTCTTTAAGTCCTTGACTGAGGTCAGTAGAGACTGCAGAACAGGGATGCCCACCTCCTTTCAACCAATCACTTCCTGCTTACCTGTTTTATATATTGCTTCTATATGGCTTTTCTAGAAGAAAGGTTTCCAAAGATTTTTTTTAAATTGCTATAGTGGTTTATAAAGTGGGAGAGAGAAATAATAACCACTAACAGTCACTGATTGCCAAGCACTTGAGAAATGCTTGGTTTACTTAATGTACAGCTTTGTATATTCTGTTTTAAGGTGAGGAAGTAGAGGCTTATCGAAGGTAAGTAACTTGCCTGAGGCTGCACAGCTAGTAATTGACAGAGCCAGGAAGCAGGTCTTCTGCTCCCAGACACCATACTCCCATCCACTATACATGCTGCTTCCTTTTCAGGGTCAGACTAGACTGGCCTGAATGACTGCTCCTCTTTCCATCTTTATCACTTAAGGAGTCAAAGAGTTATCAGGAGATCTATCAGATAAGTTGATTAGATAGTGTATTCTCATAGAACACAAAAGTGGAAAAGCACAGAAATTCTTTGCAGGTGGAGCTTCCAGAAGGAACAGGCAGAATAACTCTGGGGGAGACACCTTATCCTTCTAGATAAAATGAGAAGTCTGGGCTAGTTGCCAGCAAGTCCTCCCCAAAAGAGAATTTGGATTTTGATTTTTAAACTTTTATTTAAATACTAAATTTTATATATACTCATAGCTTTCTTCCAGGCATTGCTTTCCCCATTGACTTCATAAAATAGTGAGGCTCTCTTATTTTTAGGCCCACATCTTAAATTTGAAAGCAAAATTTACTTATAAGCATCTCTTTAAAGATTAAATTGTAAAACCAGTGAGATGATTACAAAAAGTTTACAAATGCTATCTCAATCAATGAGGGAGAGCCACATAACAGGGAATATACATTTTTTAAAATTCCCACCAATCAGCTCAAGGAACAGTCCTCAAGTCAAACATCAAAGTGTACCTTTGCATGTAAATGGAAAACACCACAGGTTAGCCAACAGCTAAGGATAGGAAACATCTGCACATTAAAGATTTACACCAGATCAAAATACCTTTTACAACTAGACTTTCTGTGCTATTAAATTCTGCTACCAAGAGTCACTGCAATTAACCTAGTTCAGACTGATTAAAAGGAAGGCTCCCATAATTCATGTTGTAATGCCTTCATTAAAATGTGAGAGGGGAAAAGAATCTGAAGTCTAAAAAGTCAAAGTTATTCTAAGAGGAAAATTCTCCCTTCTTTTAAACTTAACATTTTAAGAATTTCAACATTCGGTATTTGGTACGGAACTTGAAAGAAGTAATTTCTCTAACCGTATAAAGAAGCATTCAGCTTCTTTATACTGTCATTATTTTTCAGGGAATATACAATGGTTTTTCTAACTCTTCAGTCTCAAATTGTTTTTTTAAATATAACCTGATTAACATCATTACTTGCAGTATAGCCACAGGAAGAATTAAAAGGGTCTGAGAACCCCTTTAATTTGACCCTCAAACAGAAATGGGTCAAAGGACTAGAAAGAATTATTAATTTTCCATCGCAATAGTTTACCAATTCACCAAGTGCGAGGCACTGTGCAGAACAAAATTAAATAAACCGAGTGGCAAAGAAAAGTTTTAGGTAGAAGCTAATCAATTCCGAGAGAAAGACAGTTGGTTTAGTTCAATAGAAAGCAACAAAGGAAGAAGAGTTCCATTGTAAGATCCACTTCCTGCTGTTTGTTCACCCTATTCCTAAACAGTATAACTTTTCTGGTTTTTTCACAGCTCTCTCCTGATTGGAAGACAGGTGAAGCGTCCTTAATCTAGTATACAACAACTTCTCTAAACTCACACTTAGGAGGTTTCAGTGTTGGGTCACACTGGTCTTCTGCAAATAATGAGCATCATTCACAGCTTATGTCTCCAACTCTACTGTTACAGAATAAATAGCTGACTATATCAAAGGTCTCTAAGTTGGCAGCTGGTAAGGTAGCTCATGTTATTCATTAAGCAAATCTTCCTCAAGTGTTTACCAGACTTTCTACTCCAAAGCTTACTTCTCTAAGAAATCAAACAGAATGAAACCATTCAAGAATGCTAATGTGAAAATACCCGCTCACTTAACAAATGTGTGAATGTAGGAAAAACTAGAGCACCGTAATCATTTTTCACCTGTGCTAACTGGAGTGCGGGATGGGAATGGGGGAAGTTTTACATCATATCCTGATCCTGCCCATCTATACAAATCACATTTACCCTCAAGGCACCAGCCTCAGTTCCTCCAAAAATCCCTCAGTGATTTTGTCCTCCCTTGCACTCCCCCAGCCTTCACAGCAACAACATGCATTTGGCAGTTTTATCAGATATCACCTCACGTTGTTTGATGTGTGTGCTTCTTTTGTGCCAGAGGAGGCCATAAATATTTCAAGGGTGGCATGCTGAATCATATTTATACTATTTTCCTCCCATAGTACCTAGAACAATACTCCGCACAGAAGGTACTCAAAAAATATTTGTTAAATCAATTAACTAACTACACATAGTTACAGTCTGTTGTTTTGTGCCTTCTCACTCAGTAAATTATTTTCCAGTAAGAACACTTTTTTCTTTGCTTCAGTAACTGAAAACTGATTTTCAACCTGGGAGCGAAAATAGTAGGCTCTCTAACATCAGAGAAAGAGGCAACCAAGATCCTTGTAATAGGAAATTGTTTTGTTGTTGTTTTTAAGAGCTTTAGGGCAATACACTAAGTTCCGCAGTGATACGCCATAAGTCAGAGCTACTGAATATATTAGTGTTTGCTCCATATATATTTCAAGAATGTCTTACAGGTATGCCCGTGTACATTTTGAATAAAGGCTATAATTAGCTCGTGTCACATCATTAAGTCTTATCTGCATTATTCACATAAACAGTGAGCCTCAAGGGATATCCTAATTTTTATATTAATTTAACTTAGAACTTATATTAATAAGAATTATTAAGATGTCTCCCCCATCTTCTTAAATCTTAACTCATGTTATTGATTAAGGACTGGGTCCTTTACTCTCAAAAGTTCAACGCAGAGGAGAAAATTCATCACACAGACAATTCTTCCACAAATGCAAAGACCGTGAACTTCTCAGAGCTCCCCACCCCCAGCACGTCTGCAGACACACAACTCAGGACCAATTCCGCAGCTACTTACAGGGTCACTTTAGTGGTCACCGTCGACCTGCCCACACCGAAATGGTTCCTGGGCTTTAAGCCTTCGGCTTCCGAAGCTCCGGATGATCTGCCCAGGTCTTTGCTTCGGCCTCCCTCTGCCCGGCCATCGAAGTGGTTGGGGAACGGACCCCTCTTGTGCTCGGGCTTGATCTCTGGCAGCAGGGAGCTGCTCTTGACCGTGAGCTCACGAGGAATGACCCGGGCCGCCTCCTCCCCGCAGTCGGCCGCGGTGCTCTTGGCTACCGAGCTGGGGTCGGACGCCGGCGCCCTCTTGGGTGGGGACTCCTTGGCAGGAGACCGCGGGCCGCTGGCAGGCTGGCTGGGCACAGCCTCCGGAACGCGGCTCCTGCCCTTCCTCTTGGTGGGGGACGAAGCCGGGAGTGGGTGTTTGCTCCGGTCGGACTCCCCTCGAAGCTGCCCTTTGGGGCCAGGGCTGGGCTTGGACTCGGAGCCGGCAGCGGAGGCAACGCCCCCGTCGAGGGCCGCCCGCGGAGATTTCACTTTCTTTTCCGCAGAGACATTCTCGGTGGCCGCATGGAGCGCCACCTCGTCGTCGAACACCGCGTCGTCTTTCGCCGCGCTCTCGGGCAGAGTGGCGTCTGCGCCAGGAGAGTCGGTGGATTTCTGAGATTTCCTCCGCCTGCCCGATCTGCGACCGCTCGATCTCCTCTCCATGTCCTCAGAATCGCCGCAATCTTCGGCCCCGGGAGTAATCACCACAGGTTCTTCCACCTCCGACACCTCAGTCTTACTCAAATAGATATCCAAAGTCAACACTTTGGCGGGGTGGGCGCGATCGCCACGCGCGGCTGTGCCGCTGGCCTGCCCAGAGCTACTCCTATTCTCTGTGCTCTCGGGAGGACAGTCACCTGGCGGAGCAGATGCGCCTTCACCTGGCGGGATGCGCGTGTCTAGGCGCAGCAGGGAACTTTCTTGCGCACCCACTCTAGGGGCTTCCTCAAGTCCTCCGGCGGATTGCTCCCGGGTGGGCGACCCCGGCACACCCCTCGCACCTGAGGCTGTCTCCTGTTCACCTCCAGTGCCAGGCAAAGGGTCCGCCCCCAGACTGCGGGAGAGCGTCTCTGCGTGCTCTTGCCTAGAGGAATTCCCAGGTGTGGAATGCGGCTGCTTGGCATTGGTGGTGGCATCTGGGAAAGTCTCTCCCTCGACCTGCAGAGGTTCTAATTGGGGTGAATCACTTTCATGGCACTGCTGCACAGCCGCTGCACTGCTGCTTGAGCAAGGTGACGGTTCGGCATCAGAGGGGACTGCCTGGACACAACTCTGCGAATGCTCGCTGTCTGCCTCCTGAAAGGATCCCTCCTCGCTCCTGTCTGTCTGCTTTGGTTGGCTGCTCTGAGACTTACTCTTGTCGCTCTCGCTTTCAGGGAGTTTAGAAGAGGTTATATCTTTGGGAGAGACTGATTTGACACTTGGGCTGGTGGGGCTCTCTAACCCATTTCTGATACTCCTTTTCTTTCCTGACGTGAATAGAGTGCCAAGTTTCCCCAAAACAGGCTTCCTTCTGTTGTCTTCTGGTGGTTGTGCTCTGGACTGGAAAATAAAATGGAAGGGAAGAGAAAATATAAGAATCTGTTTTTTCCCCTTTAGTAGCATATTACAGAACTACTACAAGCTAAATGGAAGTAGAGTTTCTAATTGAAAATGCGAAAGTTGTGTCTTTGTTACGTTTTTTTCCAACAAAATTCTCATTTTACTTTTTGAATTTTTCTTAAAACACCATAAGTTTTTCGGCACTACATTACTTAGATAGCATTTCCTTTTTTTATATTCATGTTTTTAAAAAAAAAATTCGAAAGGTCCAAATAATCATATAGGCAAATGAAACAACTCTCAGTTTTCACTAGCTTGTTTTTTTTACCTCCTTCCTCAATAAAGATGCATTTTCAAAACAGCCATACTGTTTAGTGTATGCAGCAGCAGTACACTACTAAAGTATCTTAGGAAGTTTTTCCAGAACACCGTTCTTTATTTATTGGAGGGAGGAAGGGTTAAAAAAAAATCATAGCCCTTCTCCAGAAGGTTTAAAAAAAAAAAACTGGGTTCCACAGACTTGCAAAATGAAAACATTAAGCAAACTTGAAATCAAGCACCTGGCCCCGCCCTTAGCAAAATCAGCGGCGGGGAGAGGCGGGCGCTACCCTCCAATGGGAGATGCGCGCGAGCATTCAAACTCCCGCAGCGTTTACCCCACCGCCGGTCCCGCCTCTTCCGGGCTCAGTGGAAGGTTTCTCCCTCCTCCCTTTCCACCGCGGGTAGTAAATAGGAGGGACTTTGTACCAAAAGGGCGCGAAACCTCCTCCATACACCTGTCCCCTTGCCAAGGGCACAGAGCTGCGCGCAGGGCTCTGCCCACTCAGCCGCGCGCTCGGACCCGCCTCTCACACCCCGCGATGCCCCAGGTGCGCACTGGCTGCAGTCCCTGGGACCCGCCCTCCAAGGGAGAGGTCCGAGCCGCCTAACTATGCGCCTGGGTCCCAAGAAGCAGAAAAATCTGCGCTTCTAACATTTCCTGGAGCAAAACGGCCGGTACCAGGCGCCTCTGCCGGAAGCCTGGAGAAACCTCAGAACAAATAAACAAATTCGCCAGTGGGCGAGGCGCTCGCCTGGATTCGCCCGCGCTGGAAAGGCGGAGGATGGTGGAGCCAAAGGGCGGCCAAGGAGAGGAGGAGGCCGGCTGGGAAAGGGACTGGCGACCTTGGCTCCATAGGAGGGCAACCTGTGCCGGATAATCGCCCCTAGTGACACCGAGCTCTCAGGTGTGGTCACAATCACTTCAGAATTAACTCATACACTCAAAACCCAGATGGTAGCTGGTGAGACGGAAAAGATCACCTTTTCAGGAAGGTGAACTACATTGACTACAGGGAGATTTGTAAATCACCCTAAAGCAATTCCATTTCATTTGAGTTACAAGCAGCCAATGGAGTTTGAATATGGCGGGAAATTAAAAAACAAACAAACAAACAAAAAAAAAAACTGAGCATGCAATGAACAGGGTCAACAAGCAAATCTTCTAAGACAGTCCTGGCAGTGTAACATCCTGTAGTTGTGCTACCTACAGCCTAGTGAGGTAATGCTGTTACCTCACAGAGGGACGAGGGAAGAAAACTAGGAAGACCAAGAGACTGTAATACAGTGTATTTGTAGGAGCAATAAAGTCGGGAGTCAAAACCTAAGTCCCATAGATTTTTATTTTATCTTCCCATCAGCCCTTAAGGTAGGGAGTCTTTTTTTATGCCCATCTGCCAAGGTTACTTATCCCTGTCCATGGCACCATGTCCAGTAAAGTCTTTCTGACTCTGAATACAGAGTTCTTTGTTTTACTGCTGGACTGGCCATCAAACATCCTGAAGAAGTAGCTGGAGAAAATAGGTTTGAGTCTATTGGTTGAATTCCAGTCCCTGTCAAAATAAAACAGCTAAGTGTGTTACTCCATTCTGCCAATTATGTCGAAATTCATTTTTCCCATGCTGTGAAGGTGCCTAATCAGCATTAGAATTGGCATTTCCTCCCATTTTTAGCTGTTGTTTCTTCACAAAACTAGTTGCTTACTCTTCAACTCGTCTATAACTATTTGACTAACCCTTGGCCACCCCAGGGGCAGCCTGTTTATCACTTGCCAGATTGTTCAGTTGAATTTTCTAGGTTTTTAGAAGTTTGTTTATACGCACATCTTCATAGCAACTTCATTCATAATGGCCCCAAACTAGAAACAACTCAAATGCCCATCAACTGATGAGTGGATACACAAATTGTGATACATCTATACACCAAGACTACTACTGGTCAATAAAAAGAAACAAACTTTTGAAACATGTTACTGAGATAGATTCACTCTCCTGGAAAAGAGAAAAAAAGACCCTTGGTAGAAGGAAACCTGGATCCATGAGCTTTGAAGGATAAGGAAAACAACAACCCCCAGAGGAAGAAGGGGAGCACTAACCCCCAGGGAGAAAAAGGAGGACAATGGGTCCCAGGGAGAGAAGGAAAACCATTGGCTCTGGACTTCTACCATTTCCCAGCAAAAATGGGCTTTGAACTTTCACAACTGTTCCCTCAGACTGTCCAACTGACGTATTCTGCTATGATTCAAGTCTAAATGAACCCTATAAAACTCAGGCCCCTCTTGTAACCAGTTGCCATTTTCCTCCTGAAAATGTGGCCCTCCAGTGCTTAATAATACATCACTGGTTTGTTCCCGTTTATTTTTGTTTTTGAGCATGACCAGTCATGCTTGTCTCTTTAGTTAGATGAACAAAACCTTCAGCATATGGCTGTACCAAGTCAACTAAAACAAAAACATCATTGAAATGCACCAGATTCAAAGACTTAACACAATGTGCCTACCACAGATTTATAGGTAGACTGCTTAACTGAAAAGAAACATTCTGAACTCCAAATATTAGCTGGTTGACATGGGGTTTTTCAAAGTAGATTGCTTGAGAACCTGAACATTTCTTCCAAGGAAAATCATACACACAGTCACAGAGCTCAACCCTAGTGTGTCACTTGTCTTCTCTGTGAGACAAGGGGCACCCACACCCTGGCTTTCGGGTATGTATACCCTTGAGGTCCTCAAGTAAATCGTTGCTTGTGTCTTGCTTTTGACACATTCTGGAATTATTTTCAGCAATGTAAGTTAAGACTGCTGAGTTGAGGTCTCTTTGCCCTCTCCTCTAAAATACCTGTCTGGTGACATGACAACATGGATGAATTTCAAAAGCATTACTTTACTAAGTGAAAGAAGCCAGACCTAAATGGCTGCATACTATATGGTTGCATTTATACATCTGTGACAATTCAAATCTAATATAAAATTATAGAAAGTAGATCAGTGGCTGCCTGGGATCATGGGTAGTAGGTGGATTGTGACTGGGAAGAGATAGAAAGGGAATGTGGGGCAGTGGAAATGTTCCATATCTTGATTGTAGTGATGATAACACATGAGTGCATATGTTTCAAAATTCGCCAAACTGTACACTTATAATAGGTTTACTGGTCAGGTGTTGTGGCACATGCCTATAGTCCCAAATACTTGGGAGGTTGAGGTAGGAGGATTAAAAGCCAGCCTGTGTAACTGAGTGAAACCCCATCTCTTTATTTAAAAAAGAAAACTGGTTGGAAAAACAGAGATCATATAATAGGCAACCTTAAATAACTGAATAACAATTTGTAAATAATCTGATAATAGCAGAGAGTCACTAAAGTTTTCTGAGCAGCAGATTAAGAACACCTTATATTGGATACCAACAGTGCCCTATAGAGGGCCAATGGATATCACTGTGGCTTTTATGACTGTAATCCTTGGTCATTCCCCCAGATAAAAACCTTTCATTGGAAAAAAAATAGTTGGAAATGGTGGCACATGCCTCTAATTCCAGCTATTCAGGAGCTGAGGCAGGAGGATTGCAAGTTTGAGGCCAGCCTCTGTCTCAAAACACAATTTAAAAGGATGGAGATGTAGTTCAGTGGTAGAGCATCCCTAGATTCAATCACCAGTACTGCCAAAAAGTTGGGGGTGACGGGGTGGGGTGGGATCAGTGATGGGGATGAAGCTCGGTGGTAGAGTACTTGTCTAGCAAAGTGCAAAGCCCTGGGTTCAATTCCCAATGCTACACACACACACACACACACACACACACACACACACACACACTATAATTTGTCATATAAAAATTATATCCATCAAGTTTGAAAAATAAAGCTTTCACTAAGAAATAGCAGAAACATAGTGTGTGGCACAGTCTGGCTTGGGTACACATTTCATGGTTCTTAACGTAGGGAAGTGGCCCTCAAATCATTTCAAGGATGAACCCATTTACAGAGAATTCAGTCTTCTCCCAAGGGAAAAGTGGATCTCCAGTAGCATGGTATCTCTGAACAGGATCATCTGAGCAGGGCTCACAGTGCCCCATTTCTCCTTAGTCACATCCTCTGGCAAAACCCCTTCCTGAACAGGATATACCTTTCTTTTCAAACAGGGATTGTTTGTTTCCACTGTTCACAGAGGAAGTGTGGCAGTTGAAGAATGAATTAGATGGCCTCATGATTGTCAAAAAGTGTACTTTATTGTTCTTTGGGGTTTTGTTGTTTTGTTCTTTTAGGTTACAAAAAGTGTTAGTAAGTATGAGCTTTTGGTTTTGGAGTATTAAACCTAAAATAGCAGGCCACAGACCCTGTACCGTCTCCCTCAACCTTGATGATACTGTATTAGAAAGGGGAGGGTTTTGCAAAGAGACCATCAGGGTCCGTCAGGCTGCTTCATGCTCCCCAGATCCCCTCCCAGCACTGCAATCTCCACTGGACCTGGGCAGGACCCTGACTGTTCTCAGGCTAAAAGCTTTCAGAGCCTATGCCATGCTGGGACTTCCTCTGTAGTTATCTTTTGACCATGTGCCTTTTGCTCACCTTAAGGCACACCTTAAGGCACACTATGCATAATCTGTACTTGGCACCCTCGAATCCATCACCCATGCCCTACAGGATGGAAGCAATCTAACATAGAACTGTTTAAGAGATGGCCCAGGAG